TGAACACATACGGCGTTTCCATGAGTTGGGTCTCTCGGGCCGGCCTCCAGTGCCTCCAAGGCGGCCCAAGGGGCACCCAAGGGAGCTTCAGGGCGTTCCTCCGGGGACACCGGGGATCCTACGCCTTTGTAATATTTTTGGGAAGGCTCCTGAAGGATGTTGTAGGCGGTTTGGGCGGGCTCGGCTTTCTGGGGGCCACAGCCACACGCGGGAAACGCCGAATGTGCTCAAGAGCGTCCCAGAATTCTGGCAAATTGGTAGCCTAGGCCCGCTACACAGAATCTTCCTAATTCTTACATCTGCGCGGGCAGTGGGGCACTCCACCACGTACTGAAGGCAGAGTGGCGGATTTTAATTGAGAACGGCGAGCTGAAGCGCTCTGCAGAGCAAGCGAAGGCTGATCTCGAAGCAAAGTGCGACGAGCTACTAGACGTCCTCTCCGAGCGGCCCAGAGTTGCAGCCACGATGCCAGATTCAGCTGGCTCCCGCCACACCCGCCGTTCGAAACGCCCGGGTCTCTTCGGAGCCTTCCCATACACGTCGGCAGATTGTGCGGGGATTCTTGAATTGCCAGGCGCGTAGTCGTCTCATTGAAACATCATGAGTCGCGACGGCCTCTGGGGAGGGGCTGGAGCAGGCTTTGGGAGAAAGGGGGGCTCGTCAGGCGCTCTCGAGCCGACGTGGGTCTTGTCAGGGCTGTCCCCGGGACTCCCTCGAACATTCGTCAGGCCACAGTGTGCAAGAGAGCATTGCCAGCACAAGCTGCGATTGAGCAATCCAGGCGCTGGTCGAGGGCAGAATGTGGAGGAGGCAGATGCGGAGGGGTGAGGAGGAGGAGGAGGAGGAGGAGGAGGAGGACGATTGGATGCGGAATTGACGGAGGAGGGAAAAGCAGAAGGGAATGAGCAGAAGGGGGCGAGAGGGACGAGGCCGATCTGGACTGGGGGGAGGAGGAGGAGGAGGAGGAGGAGGAGGAGGAGGAGGAGGAGGAGGAGGAGGAGGGGGAGGAGGAGGCGGAAGAGGAAGAGGAGGAGGAGGAGGAGGAGGAGGAGGAGGAGGAGGAGGAGGAGGGGGAGGAGAAAGAGCAGGAGGAGGAGGAGGAAGAGTAGGAACAAGCGAGTATGAACGAGAGAGGAGGAGAAGGAGGAGGAGGAGGAGGAGGAGGAGGTGAAACAGATCAGGGTTCCACAGCCTGGCAGGATCCGAGAAACATTGTACTTGGAGGTTCTTCAGCTGGGTCGGCCAGCTCTGATCTCAGGCGTGCTTTCTCCGCGCATCGTATGCCTCATTCCCCTGCGTGCGCTCGGTTCCTCTTGATGCAACGACGGCGTGCCAACGACACCAGCCTGAACCATCGTGGGACAGGACAAGGGGGGCACGCACGGGCCAGCGCCCGTACGCTGCTGAGGGCTGCGCGGGCCCACGACTTCTCTGCAGGGGCAGGGCCCTGCGCAAAAACGATGAGGCAGCTGGGCCGTCATTCGCAGTGCTTCAAGCAGTGGCGAAGCGTCCTGGCTCGCCGATAGCCCTACCAAACAATGTGCTAAGAATCGTTTGTGGTTTCCACGACATGTTCCTAGAACATTGCTTGCCGAGACTGTCTTGTTTGAACACATCGAATTTATGTTATCAGAACCTTGGTTTTGTTTTTTAAACATTTTTGGGTTCTACGAACAGTTCGTCGATCCCTGCTCAACAGCCAAGGCAGACGTGGAAATGCGTACATAAAGTGAGTCAACGGTGTCAAAGGTCATCATTGGGTTTTCTGGTGTGTCCCCCATTTCGACCCCACTTCCAAGAAACGTGGCGTTCACCACTGGGAGATGCAAGGCACGACAAATCGGACTTCCCCCCGCGCGAGGCAGACGGTTGACACAGGTCCGGGGGAAACGCGAGGAAGGGGACACTCGTTCCAAGCTGCTCCGCGCCGTCGTTGCCGGGATCATGCCCGTAACGAGAGCGGAACTTGTACAGCTTCCACCAACCCACGCCAGATTCTTCAATCAATTCGCTATTTCCACATACCTCGAATCCGCAAAAGGATTCCAAAGCAACGGATTATCACAGGACCGAATGCTGATTTGGCCATCGCAGCGAAGGCTGCCAACAAGGAGCGCACTGATGCGCTTCTCGATCTCAGCATTTACAGATATTTGATCCAGCCCACCGCCAATGTGTCAGTCAACTAGGCCAGCCCAGGACAAGGCATTAGCAATTTTTTGCACTGGCAATATCAAGTAGACCGTGGGAAATTTATCACAGATCACTGACGAAGAGATGCCCTTGACCCGTCAGCTGGAGATGGTACCATCATATTTGTGTGATGTTAAACCGTTCGGACACTATGAGATGGGCGATGCAAACCTGGGTGATCCACTGGTTGGCTCGGATTGGCTAGGACCCCAGCAGCAAAGGCCACCGCGATTCGGAATTTCGAGCGCAGCAGCCAGTGCAGCAACCAGTGGTGAAAAGGCACGCGGTTGGCAACGTGAATCACGTCGTGCCGCCGCCGCCACCTCCAGATGGAAGCATGGCCAATCCTGACATGGTGAGACGGTACGATTACACACATGATGAGCATGATGCCGGAAGTATACCGACGCCGCAGGCACATCCTAGCGCGATGTCCACAATGGGGAGTACATGCGCAAACCAAGTGTCGTCAGAGGTGAGAATACCGCCGTGGGTGTTCTTGCAGGGGCGTCGGCAGACCCACGTCCCTAGGTCAAAGGTTCGAGAAGAGAGCCGAACGCACGATGCCGACGAGTGGAATGTCTCCCACACTGATGGTTGGCACGCCGACGGCCGAAGCTTCTCCTTCTGCGGAAGCATTCGTCTCAACGCCGGCGACTGCGAAGCTGGCCAGTTAATTTTCAGCCATGGGAATGGGGTCCATGGAATTGATCCGTCTGCCGAACGGGCGCGGGCCCAGGTCGCGATCCCTGTCTGCTCGCTCGCCTGCCCCGTCGCCAACGCGGCCCGCTCCGCCGACGCCCTGCCTTCTCCAGCGATTTGTGGGCCCAGCCTGGGTTCGCGCCCGACTCCGGTGTCCAGCGCCATCTCTGCCGTTTCGGCACCTGCGCCAAAAAGATTGCCCAGCGTCAACACAGGAGAGGGCATGCTGCCTGGACCAGAGTCGACGGTTCCACCCGGAACTGCATGCGAGCCCTGCCGCTGCGGCTTTCGGTGGAGCTCCCTACGGGGCCACGAACCGTGCGTGGGGTGCGCCCATCCACATTGGCATGCGGATCCGAAGTTCCGTCGTCATTATCTTCGTCATCGATTCCTTCTCAGGTCGATTCTCGCAAGCACGGTAGTGAACGAACGCAACAGGCAAGTAAACCCAAACATCAAACAAGCACACCACGCTAAGCTGGCCGAATCACCCGGCAAAAGGAAACATCACGCACAAGGGACGCAGCGCAACGCAAACAGACACAGGCAACCGAACGCTCTTCCCCCAGCTTGTACTACCACGACTGATGCATTTCGTGGGCCGCATTGCGTAGACTGCATACAACCGATCTCATCGCAGAACCTGCGCCCCACCCGGTGCACGCTCTGTGTGTGTGCCGTGTTCTCGCCCATTCGCTCCCCGCCGTCGCCTCGCCGCCGCCCCGTGCGCCCGGCATGCGGCGCCTCGCCCCGTGGCAGCCCGTCGTCGCGTCGTCTCCGCCCGGTGCCCGCCCGTGGCCACCTCGGCGCCGCCCTCTGCGCTGGCTGGGGTGGCCGGGTGCTCGCCCGGCGGTCGCCGCCTCGTCGTCGCTCTGTGCATTGCTCTCGGGGGCGGCAAAGAGGGGGGGGGGATGACTATATGGGGGTAGGGGGGGGGGTGGATCTCATGGCGGGGGCCATGACGTTTCCTCAGATTTCGGGGCGCCTCTTCCTGTTTCATGACGTCCCACGTGGCCCCTCCCCGCTGGGCCGCGCACGTGCCGCCGGTCATGATTCACACCCACCCCTCTCGGCCGCCCCCGAGCTCGGGCGTGCCAGGTTTGCTCGCGGCGGCCGCCTGTCGCCGCCCGATCGCCGCCGCACGTGCTCCGCGTCTGCATCGAGGGTACCGCGCCGAGGCTCCAAGTGACCGGAGGGGTTTGCCGGGTCTGCGGCAGGTAGCCGCCCGTCGCCGCCTCGCAGTGCACAGGTTGCCCCACATCGCTTGCGTTTCATTGACGCGCATTGCATTGCATAGATTGCACCACATACATTGCACCACGTAGTTTGCAGCACCTTGCTAGGTCCACACAGATTCCACCACCCAGCTTGCACCATACGGTTCCCACCAGACTTGTCAGACCACATATGTTCAACCACCTCGCTTGTTCAATCTACCTAGCTTACATTTTCAGAATGTGATCGTTCACGGTTTGACGACCGAGTCCCCCGCGAGGGTTCAAGATGGCCTCCAGAGGAGTCCTAAATTGCCCAACGGATTCCCAACATGGCCTTGGGGACGTCGTGAGACTGTCTTGGTGGGGGTCGGTCGAGCTCTTTGGGCCCCTTCGGCGACGTCTGGAGCCTATCCTGGGGCCGTCTTGAGTCGTGAGCCGAACACATGATAAAGTTTCACGCAGGGGCGATAAACAAACACCGCGTTGGACCCCCGGGGCGATGCGTCGGGAACCCCAGGGACCCCCCGCGCCGTCCTGGAGGCCTGATGGACCGCCCCGGCCGCCAGCCCGAAGGCGGGACGCAGGAAAATCGCCGCTCGGCCACCATCGGAGAGCTCGGACCCCACGGGTGGGGGAGTATCTCTCTCACGCCTGGAGATCCCCAAGGGTTCAGCAGATCTTCCGTCTCAGAACGACAGCGGCAGGGCAAGCGTGGATCAGGGCAGCCGAAGGTCGAGCAGTTTGAGCACCCACATCTTGAGCAACAGGGCCCCGGAGAGCAGCGACAATTCGGAGGCCAACGACGAGTTCCCCCTCGACGCCGATGCCGAGTTCCCGCTGTTCGTCTCGTCCTCGCCGCCGAACCACCTGCCCACGACCCCCTTGGACATGTGCTACGTGGCGACGCCCGACGAGGTCATCTATCAGCACCAGCCGCTCAACAGCCTTGCCTCGCCGCCCCGCCAAGCTGCGCCGGACCCCCAGCTGTGCGGCGGCGGCATCCAGCAGGGGAGCCAGCCAGGAGCAGCACAGTCGGCAGCACGGGGTAGCTCCCTCGTGGCGCCGCAGCAGAGCGTCGCGCAGGGGCCCTACTGCGGCGTCGGAGTCGGCGCAGCTGCCGCCACAGCCGCCGCCGCAGTGCCCTACTACGGTCCGCCCCCCGCTTGGCCGCCGCCGCAGAGCGGGCCGCCGCCGGTGCCTGCGCCAGAGGAGCCCGCGGGCGCCGCGGGTGCAGGCGAGCCCGGGCCCAGGCGCCTCCCGCCCGCTGGCACCCCTCCGCGCTTCCCGCCCGCCGACGCCCCTCCCTGCCCCAGCCGAGAGGCCTGGACGGCCCCTGGGCTGGGGCAGGGCTGGGCGGAGTCTGACGCCCCTGGGCCGGAGCTGCCGCCCGCGGGCGCCGCCGCCGCCGCCGCCAGCGCAGCGCCGGGGGGCGCGCAGCGGCCCCTGGCCGCCAGCGAGGGCGGCGCGGCCGGCCCCCCCGGCCCCAGACGAGAGGCCCAGGCGGACACTTCGCCCCCCCTCCTCCTCTCCTCCTCCTCCTCCTCCTCCTCCTCCTCCTCCCTCCTCCTCCTCCCCTCCTCCCCCTCCTCCTCCCTCCTCCCCCTCCTCCTCCTCCTTCCTCCTCCTCCTCCTCCTCCTCCTCCTCCTCCTCCTCCTCCTCCTCCTCCTCCTCCTCCTCCTCCTCCTCCTCCTCCCTGCCCCAGCTGAGAGGCCCCCATCTTGCGCCCAGCCCCTGGGCTGCGGCGGGGCTGGGCGGAGTCCTCGCCCGAGCGGCCGCCCGCGGGCGCTGCCGCCGCTGGCGCGGCCGGGGCGCCGGAGGCGCGCGCCGTGCGGGCGTTGGGGCTGCAGCAGGAGCTCAGCAGCGAGGGCATCGTTAGGGGGGGGCCCAGGGTTAAGTTTAAGTCGGGCCTGTCCCCCTGCAGGGGGAAGAACCACAAATAGTTTAAACAAATAGTCTGGGGACGATTGTTTTGCTATGTTCGAGGACAGTCTAAGAATAGTAAAGAAATCATCGAACATGGCCAACAAATATTCAAAAACAAATCGTCCCCGTAACGATGTTGTAACTGTTTTTGAGTTTTCCTCCTGTAGAGGGACAGGCCCGACTTAAGCCCAGGGGGGCGCGCGTCGGCTCCCCATCGCCCAGTCGTCGCCGGCAGGGGCCCGAGAGAGCCCACCCCGCCCGGGAGCGGACGGTCCTGCCGTCGAGGGCGCATCGGCGACCTGGCGGCGACGCGTCCCCCCCGGGTCGGTCCCCCCTTATCGGTGCCCCTCACGGAAGCGGGGGCGGCGTCCACAGGCTCTGGTGGACCGTGCACGCCAAGACGCTGAGTAGCACGGACAAGGACGTCGTGTCGCAGCCCTTCGAGCTGGACGTGGCGGGCCCGGTCCACTTCAAGCTGGGCCTGTTCCCGAGGAGTACTTGCGACGCCAGGCTCAATGCCTCGTTCAGGCGCGCCAAGGGCAGGGGTCGCGTGACGCTGATGTGCACCGACCCAGTGAGGGCCCGGACGAGGGTGCAGTTCCGCATAGCTGTCGGCAGCGCCTCCTCGGAGAGCCAGGAGCCCAGGGGCCCCGTGACCCACGACTTCTTCGAGAACAGGGTCGCCGGCCTGCCGACGGGCAGCGACGAGTGGGACTTCAAGAAGATAGCGGACGCATCCACGGAGACCTTCACCGTGCTCCTGGAGGTCTGGCCCGCGTCTGACTGAGGCGAGTGCCCCACCAGGGGAAGACAACGTAGGTGCGGCTGGTGCCTCCCGCATCAGGAACACGGGCAACGATCATCCAGCCCTATCCCCGCCCGCCAGCAGGTGCCCCGCGGAGGCTTCTAGTCTTTGGAAGGTTCGGAGGCCCAGGGGCTGGGAGGGCGAGTTGTGCACGACGGTTGTGCCCCCCAGACTTCGTACAGCAAGGCTTCTCGTTGCTTGTGGCTCTTGTCTGGCGTACGAGCCCAATATCTCTGTTTCACACCGTTCCGGCCTTTTCCCCAAACCAGGGTACTGCATTCGGGCTTGCCTATCGCAGGTGTGTCGCATTATTATGCTTCCGGGATTGCCAGGAGCTGCCGTGACCGAGTGTTTGTGGTTGGCGTTGCGCTGTGCTAGGTCTTAAAACTGTATGCTCTGCTTTTCTTCAGCCCGTGCCCCCATGTCCCCTCCTGGCTCCTCCACTGCTCGCCAGCGCCCTGCCGCACCCCGCACCGTCTCTCTCTCTTTGGTCCTTCTCCCCCACCTCCCACCACCTCCTGCCACGACGGCAGCCGCGAGGAGAGGAGACGCGCGAGATGCCCCATCCCACCCCTGGACCCGTGCCCCGTTGGGCTCCCAGGTGTGGGTGCCTGGCCCGGGGAGCGCCGGGGTCAGGACATGGCCTCCGACCTCCTCGAGGGCTGCTCCGCCTCCCCCCCCCGGCCTTCCGGGCGCGCACCCCCCGAGCGGGACCGCTCTGCCCTCGCCTCCCCTCGTCGCGTTCGCGCGGCGGCCGCCGCAGCCGCCGCTCGTCACTCCACCACCGTGGCGGCCATGGTCGCTGGCCGCCGCCGCCGTTGCCGCCGCGCCGTCGTCGACGCCGCCATCGTCGCAGCTGCCGTGCGGAGCGGTGCTTTGCCGTCGGAGGGCGCGCGCGCGCGCGCCGCGGCGGGCGCCCAGGCGAAGCCTGCGGTCGACGCGGCGGGCGGAGCCGAGGCGGGCTGTGCAGACCCCAGCAGCGCAGCGGAGGGTCGCGGTGGCGGTGTGCCGCCTGAAGCATCGGAGGACCGTTGCTCACGAGCGGCGAACATCCATGCATTAGCGGTCTCCTCCTCCTCCTCCTCCTCCTCCTCCTCCACGCCGACGCGCGATCCCAGGGATGGTTACGCAGTGCCGTGGATACGCTCCGCGTCCTCGCAGCGCTGCCCTGTATCCATAGGGTCACGGCCGAGGCTTCCAGGCCGCGGGGTCGTGGATGTGGAGCTGGTTCCTTCCCGTGAGTGGCTGCTTCCTGCCGCCTGCAGCGAACGCTTTCAGCCTCAGAGGGGGAAAAGATACCCATGCCTCTACCCTTCCCTCGTTTTCCCCTGTTTGGGCCTCCTGGGAGGCTCTCGTCGCCACCGCTGGATTCGCCTCGAAATCTTGGTCAGAACGCACACCGGGATAGGTCCAGGGAGTAGCGGTATCGGTACCTTTTGGTCTCCCCACAGCTGGGCGTGCTGGCCGTTGTGGATTTCCGGGCAGTTGGCGCTCACGCCCTTATACGAAGTGCAGAGTTCGAGGGATCGCAGGGGGGGGGGGCTGGGCCCAAGGTCAGGTTTGGGGCGCGAATTCCGCTCGAGGTTGATATTTCCCTCCTGCAAGAACCCTGCGCAATCTCCCTCTGATCCCGCATCTGGCCCTATCCTTGCCGCACGTCTCTCCCCGAGTAGTGGCACCCGTCGTGGCCTCATTTCGGGGCGATTGACCCATGACCTCCCTTGGTCTTCTCCCGTCGGTTGGGCCCCCCTTTGTTCTCAAGTCCTGTCCCGCTGTGGTTTGTGTGTGAAAGTTCTCGGGCGGGTTCACTCAGAGTTGTTTTTCCCGTTCTTCGTTCCTCTTCACCCCCTCCGTCTTATGTTTTTCAGTCGTTCGTTTACTCGGGCAGGTCCGTCTTTTCGCCAGCCGCCAGCGCACGCTCCATGATTACGTACACTCAACTTCCGCACGAAATTCTGAACAGTTGCAGTTGCTGCAACCCCGTCCAGTGGGGCCCAGGCAGATGCAGCTGCGGGTCAAGCGCTGACTGGCGTGTGTTCTGTGCAAGATGGTCCTCGGAGAGTGTTGGTCCTCGGAGAGTGTTTCACGTTTCGGCGGGTCGTCGGATTTCCAGCAGCCCTTGGTCGGTAAGGGAGTGCCTAATGGGTGTCTCTGGCAGTCGCCAGCGGCGTACGCACCGCCATGTCTAACGCGAGCAACGTCACGGAGCCCAATGCGAGAGGACAAAGGCGCGCAAAGGGTGATCGCAATATCGCGTGGCATCACGGTTGCCTCCCAGCGAACCCGTTGTTTGCAAGTGTGGGGAACACCTACCCTGGTTAATTGAATGCTCTCCGTGAGGTGGACGGTTCGTCGATCGATCAGAGACCGAGATTGGGGTTTGGCTAGCACAGAGTCGGGGCAGTATTTCCGCTTGTGCGCAAGACTTGAGACTGGCCCTTCGCTAGGGTGACGTTTTGGTAACGGCCCGTTGGGCCCCCCGTTCGCTGCACTCGATGGGAGAACAGCGGTTTGCGCACTTACGTTTGCCGTCACCTCCGCCCCCCTCCGCGCCCCCATCCGAGCCGCGCGTCAAGGGTCATTTTTCCTCATCGGCCATTCTTGTCCATGGCCTGATTTTTTGACGGGCCCGCATTTGGACAGATATTCTCAACATCGTGAAGGTTTTTCTTGGTGCGGTGCCGTCGAGAGTGATGACCGCCCTCCAACCGCCTTCAGGCCTGCGCGAGGGCTCCCGCACCGAAGAACAGGGGGAGGCAGAGAGCGACCAAGCACTTGGCCATTCACTTCCGCGGGGGCGCCTCGACGTTTGACGGCCTGTGTTCGAATTATTTGGAGTGTCTGTTTTGTGTTGCTTGGTGACGTGTGCGCCCCCCTTTCCTCGTGGCTTCGCCGGGCCGCCTGTAAGATGTGTGCCTCTGCATGCGGGAAACTTGCATATGGCGTGTCTTGGTCCTCCAGGCTGGAGCCCGAATTATGGCATTGAGGAGTGCGACAGTGGTTCGTTTGGTTTGTCACTCTTGGTGATTTTTGCGCCCCCCCCCTCTGGTGGCCTCCTTGAGCCTCTGCTGGGGGGCCGTTTCCAAGGACGCCCATGGATGGACGTCCGTTGGGCCGTCGTGGGGCCCTGTTCGGGACCCGGAGTGGTGGCGGGAGGCAATGCGCATAGGGGCTCGACTTCGGGGGGTGGTGTGGTGACGAGGGAGTAGGGGTGGGGGAAGCCCGTTTTCGGAGGGAAACAGTTGGGTTTTAGTCGAGTTGATCCGCGAAACCGCTTGGACCTGGAGGGAATGGCAGCCGCAAGTGGCATCCAGTGTCTCACCTGCTGGGGAGGCGGCCGGGGAGGCAAGAGACAGGAGGGAGGAGCAGGGACATGACAAACACGTGGGAGCGTACGCAAGCGGTGCGAGCCGATTGCAGCGACCTCAGCAGGCAAGCGCACAACGCCCGATGCGAACGGATCTTTTAATTAATCGTATCGGCTTCACTGGGGGAAAGGAGGGGAGACGAGGAGGACAAACGGGAACAGGAACATGGAGGGAGGACAGTTGGCAATAAACCGTGGAGGCAGACACTCCCGACGATGACTGCCGGCAGGGCATAGTGTGCAAGATGCTGCCGCTCTGTCGTGGCACTTCCCCTTGAGGTCTCGGCTATGGCTGCCTTCGGGGAAGAGGCCAGAGCGGACGGGTCTTGCCAGAAAGCTCCAGGAGGCTTGCGGCCTTCTGAAAAGTTTTCTGAAGCAGTTTTTCTCAAGACAGAGAAGCCTCTCAGAAGGCTTAGGTCGGGCATGTCCCCCTAATAGGGGGATTTTGGATGAAGAATCAAAAAATCCCAAAACAGAACCAAACATATGCCAGACATTGTCAAAACATCGTCCCCCCATCCGATGGTTAAGCTATTTTTTGCATACCCCTCCTGTAGAGGGACAGGCCCGACTTAACAGAAGGCCGGAAGACTTGTGAAGCAGAAGCGCGCCGCCCTGTGAGGAGGCCTGCCCGCTCTCCTTCCCCCCCTCGGCGCCCCGCCGACCTGGAGCCTGCCTCGCGCCGTTTCAGGCGCCACTCCGTCCTCCGCGCGTATCGTGGGAGCGCGGAGGCTCGCCCGCCATGGGCGTACCTCGCCACGGCTCAAGGTATCTGTAGCCGGACAGCCGTGCGATCGGATGCAGGGCTGTGTTGGCAGTTGTTGGTGCCAGGGGGCGACTCGTGAGCAAGGCTGCATTAGTTACTCTCCCGCACATCATCCCGACTCGGCGCCACTGCGGTTGATGCAAGACCCGCCTTGCGAGGTCTAGCAGCTCCAGATTTGAGCCGGAAGAGACTTGAAACGTTTTTCCTCAGTGCCGGGACGGCCCCGGGAATACTGTGTCACCGTTTCGGTTGGTCGATGGGTTTTCGCTCTGCCGCCAGCAGCCGTTCGCGCGTTTCTCCGTGTTCGTTTGTTGTCGTTCGTCATCGCGCAGCGCGAAATGATCCGTGACGCGTCCCCCCTCTTCAGCGCCACCCGCGCCGAACAGGAGTGCTTCGTGGATGCTCTCAGGGGCGACGGCATGGGGGGAACAAGCCCATCGGGGGGAGGCATCGACCCCCAATCGCCCACCCATCCCCGACTGCGGCCCGATCGCCCGCTCCGCCCAGCAACGCGCGGACTCGCTGTCGGGGGCCCAGTGCCGATCAGTCGAAGAGTCTATCGCCGATTCCAGCCCGATGCCCCCGGATTCGGGTCTGCTGCGCCCCCCCCGCCGCGTCTGTCTCCCCACCAGGTCGGAGGTGGACAGACCTCCCACCCTGACGTGTCGATTACGGAGTTGGCCGTGTTCGGTTCGCGACAGGGCGTCGCGGCCGTCCTTTCTGCGGGTCCGGGTCCGTCGGCTTCGGTCCCAGGCCGTTTCCACGAAGGGGAGGTTTACTAAAGGGAGGTTTGTCCACCGCCGAGCAGAACGTTCTTCTTACGCAGGCGAGCTCCGAGCCGCGCCCACTGTGCGCGACACCGCGGCGAGCGGGGCGGACTCGTCGCGCCTCGCGCAGGGGCGGCGTCCGCCGCCTGCGGCGCCTGGGCTGGCCCCGCCGGCCGGCGCGAGCGGAGCCACGGGGCGGCCCCGCCAGCGGCGCGGGGGTCCGCCCAAGTCTGCGGCCCGCCAGCGTTCAGTCGGGCCTGTCCCTCCACAGGAGGAATATCCAAGAATAGTCCACAAATAGTATGGGGACGATTTTTTGTTATTTGTTGTTGGCTTTGGCGTATTTGTATAATATTTTTCATTTTTCGACACAAGTCCTCCCGTAGGGGGACAGGCCTGACCTAACGCCAGCGGAACGAGCGGCGCATGGGCCGCACGGGGGTTGTCTGCGATCCGGGCATGGGTCGGCTGGTGCATCCAGGGCCGTTCGAGCAGAAACTCAAAGACACGACGCCATCATAACGATGCGCTCCAAGATGTCCTATATATTCCTGGGACGTCCTGTCGCGCCGAATGGGCTGCAGAACCGAGGGCCGCAAGATGCTCCCGAACTCCTTCGACGCATCCTGAACCAATCGCAACATGATAATTATCACTCTCGTCGATTGGCAATGGCTCGAGCGGCCGATGAAAACTTCGAGCAACTGGTCGCTCCACGCGTTGAAGGGGGGCTCGTCTCCCGGATCGGGGCCCTGTGCTTTTTCCTTGAATGGGCTCCCGCCCTGGGTGTTTTTATAGGTTTTTTGTAAGTTATCCCTGGTCATCGATTTGCGCAGGATCGGCGAATTCTCACTATCGATCACCAGGTCGCATGTGGCCAGCGAATCATCGCGTGCAAATCGTTTGTTTTGCATCATATGTTGAAGATGCTTCCGGCGAGAAGCTTGTAGAGTTTGAGGATGTCTCGAGCGAAACGCTTGTTCCGTATATGTTGTCGAGGATATATGAGATGAAACGCGTGTGTTCACGTGTCCAGGCCACCCAGATAGGATATCTAACGTGAGGTCGTCAGGTCCTTCGCCCGTAACCTGAAACCATGTGTTTTTCCCACCCTCCCTCGCTTAGGTTCTCGTTTTGAATAGAGCAGTGGGTCTCCAGGACCTCCCGCCCCCCCCCCCCTCTCTCCACCCGCCTGCCTGCATGTGACTGCATGTGCCTGCTTGCATGCCCCCTGCCTCGCTGTCCTGCCTGCGGGCTCGCCGGGGGGCTGCGAAGTGTGAAACTGTCGCCACTTTGAGGGCTGCTGGGTGTGGCAGCAAATTACGGGGCATCGCAGATCCAAACGAGACCTCGCCATCCTTGGGGGGCTTCGACGCGTGAAACTGTCACCACTTTCGAGGGGCTGTTGGGGAGGGCAGCACAGTGCGGGCCATCGCAGATCCGAACGAGATCTCGCCATCCTGGGGGGGCTGCGAAGTGTGAAACTGTGGCCACTTTCGACGGGCTGCTGGGGGTGGAAGCACAGTGCGGGGCATCGCAGATCCAAACACACGAGATCTCGCCATCCCTGGGGGGCTGCGAAGTGTGAAACTGTGGCCACTTTCGAGAGGCTGTTGGGGGTGGCAGCACAGTGCTGGGCATCGCAGATCCAAACGGGACCTCGCCATCCTTGCGGGGGTTGCGAAGTGTAAAATTGCGGTCATTTTCGAAGGCTGCTGGGGCAAGAGGGGAACACAGTGCGGGACATCGCAGATCCAAGCGGGACCTCGCCATCTTTGTGGGGCTGCGATTTGCGACATTGGCACCACTTTCGAGAGCTGCTGGGGGTGGCAGCACAGTGCGGGACATCGCACATCCAAGCGGGACCTCGCCGTCTTTGTGGGGCTGCGAGGTGTGAAATTGACGCTACTTTCGAGGGCTGCTGCTGGGGGGGCGGAAGCGCGGGACATGACCTCGCCATCCCTGGGGGGGACTGCAAATTTCGAACTTGTCGCCGCTTTGGAGGGGCTGCTGGGTGTGGCAGCACAGTGCGGGGCATCGCAGATCCAAGCGGGACCTCGCCATCCTTGTGGGGCCTGCGAAATCTGGAATTGTCGCCACGTGCGAGGCCCGCCGGGTGGGGGCTACAAAGCCAGCGCGAGGTCTGCTGGCGGACCTATTCTTCCCTACAGCGCGGGAATACACAAGAGAGTGGGTGCGCGGACGTCCCATCGAAGCAGAGGCCGAACCACTAGGGGAATGCCGAGCTGGCCTAGCAAAGATGCTGTCACTGTTGCCATGCGCGGGGTCCGCGGGTGCCGCGCGGGTCACTGAAGCGTCTGGCGGCAAGGCAGGATTTCCTAAGGTGGCGAAATGGGCGGTGGCCCTGGCGGAGGCGGCCCTGTCAGAGGCGGCCCTGCCCATGCCAGGGGCACCCGTGCAGTCGACGAGGCCCACGGCAGGTGCACTCCAATTTGCGGCGGCCCAGGTGGTGGTGTGACCAGTGGTAGTGGCGCTGGTGGCGGAGCACAGCCGGAAGCAGCAACGAACGACTCGCGAACGACGACATGCGGAAAGGTGGCAGCACAGGCTGCCCCGCTGGTGCCAGCGGCAACGGGGCAGCACCAGAAGCAGGGGAGGCGAGACGCGGTGTCAGCAGGGAGCTGGTGGCTCCTTTCGCCGAGGCGGCGCGCGTGGGCTCGGGCCGGCTGACAGAGCGAGCCGAAGGGGGCAGCACAGCTGCGGCTCCGGCTGGCGCCTGGAGGGAGGAGGGGGGGTGGGAGACTGGGAGGAGGGTTGTGTTTGCAGTGTTCTGTCAGCCCAGGCGGCCCGCGGCGGCACGCACCACTGCCGGAACTGAGCCACGCCGCACAGGGAGGAGGGGGGGGGAGGGAGAGGGAAGAGGAGGGAGAGGGAGGGAGGAGAGGGGAGGAGGGCGAGGGAGGGAGGAGGGAGGGAGGGCCCCTCCCTGTCCCCCCCCCCCCGCTTCCACCCCCGCGCTGGCCCTTTGGTCAGGACGGCGCTGCGGGCCACGCCCCCGCCGACGCGGTCATCAGCACGTGCCGCATCTGCCTGGAGGATGGACCGCGCCCGTCCCGCGCCTTCCGCGCAGGGGGTCCCGCAGATCGGGCAGTGCCAATGGAGGTCGCCACGCCCTCCTGGGAAGCCCTCCGGGAAAGCGGAGGCCGAGGAGCAAGGCTGGCTCGAGGGCCCCAGAGCTCGGGCGATGCGAGCCGTTACGTCCCCCGCTCGGCCTCCTGGATCTCGGGCCCCCGAGGGGCGCGCTTTTTCGGGCCCCGGGGCCACCGAAAACGGCTGGGCTTTGCGTGGCCGGACTCCTCCACACCTTTGGCTAGTTTCTCGCGCTTCGCGCGAGGGCGGCTAGGCGTCGTGCAGCCTGCTCGCCATCAACACCTACTATATGGCCACCGAAAACGGATATCCCGGGCCTTAATAGGGAGCCCCCCCGCGCCCCTCGCGCGGGGAGGCGCGGAGGAGAGGAGAGAAGGAGCGGCGGAGGAGGAGGAGGAGGATCAGCTGGAGGCCGGCGTCCGAGCCCGAGGCCGAGCCGGCTGTCGGTGCAGCCCGTCGAGGGTCAAACGGAGGGGGAGAGGAAGTGAGGGTCGGTATCGTTTCACCGATCCCCATCCCCATCCCCATCCCCCTCGAGACACCCACCCAAGTACCACCCCAGGATGCGCCCCTCGAAGCCCGAAGGGAACCGCCTATATCCCCATCCAGGGGGGTAAATCGGCCCGCGGGACCCAGGCCACGCCGCCTGGGATGGGCATCGGCGAAGCGATACTCAGAGAGGCAAAGCGCTGCTGGCGTGGCACGTGAAGCTTGCCGAGCCCCTAAAAGAAGAGGGAGGCAACCCGACGAGACGCCTGGTCGCGGAGGCGCGACGGCCAGGGGCCGCGCCCGTCCTGCGCTCACTCCGCGCATGGGGGTGTCTCCAGAGGCCAGGCAGGGCCAAAAGGGGTCACCACGCAGCCCTGCAAAGCTAGGATCGTTCGGTATCGTTCATCCGATCCCCATCCCCATCTCCATCTCCTTCGAGACTCCCACCAAATTGCCACCACAGTTGGGGATGCACCTCTCGAAACCCGAAGGAAACGTTTTATATCCCCATCCAGGGGGGTAAATCGGCCAGTGGGGCCCAGGCCACGCCGCTGGGGATGGAGATCGGATAAGCGATATTCGATCGTCGAAACACAGAAAATCCGGCGTAAGCACACACACACACACATTGTCCGAGGTCCACGCAGGGTTTGCGGATCGGTGTCGGGCCCCCCTCCCTTGACGCGCCGCGTCAGGGGCAGCGCTGGAAGCGCTACTATAGGGGTCCACCGCCGCTCCAAAGAAAGATGTGCGGCCCGCCGAATGTATGTGTTTACGTTGTCTGTTGTCTTTCTTTCTCTTGGAGGTTGTCTGCCTTCTCCTCCTTTCCCCCTCCTGCTCCCTGCTGCTCGGGCCAGGGCCGACGCACTCGAACACGAGCCTTTCGAGTCTGAGGCCCCTTTTCGGTGCGTGAGGCTGGCCTTGGAGGCGCGCGGACTGCCCACCACCACCGCTGCGGCCACCTCCCTCAGGTGTCCGTGGCGGGTATCGGGTAGGGTCGGTCGGAGCTAGAACGAGGATAAATCCGTTCCAGGACGTCCTGGAACGCTCTGAGAAGGCCGCGGCGCCCGAGACATGCTCCAGAACCGCCGGATCTCAGAGGTTCTCGCTTTCTCCTCGCCCGATATTCTCCTCGTCCTGGCTACGTCTTATAGGTCATCCCCCCCTCTCTCCCTCGCGAGTTGCCTGCCCGACCCCCGCTCCCTCATCCCCCCCCCGCGGACAGGAGGGCCGCGTGGACGCGGACCTCATCGCGCCCTGCGTGTGCCCGGCGCTTGTCTCCGCCGATGGGGGGGGGAGGGCGCTCGGGGCGGGGGGGGGCGAGGAGGGGGAGGGGACGCTGGAGGATGGGGGCAAAGAGAGGGGGGGCGAGGAGGGGGGGGGGCCAGGAGGGGGGGCGAGGATGAGGGGCGAGGGGGGGGGGGCGAGGAGGGGAGGGGCGAGGGGCGGGGGGGTTAGGAGGGGGGGGGAGCGAGGAGGGGAGGGGACGCTGGAGGATGATTCTTCTTCCTGTTTTGCTCGCTTCGAGGGGGGAGGCCTGGCCTCGGTGCCCGCCTGCGACTTCGCCGCGAAGTCCTCCTGCTGCAGACGATCGCGTCCAGGTGCTCCAACACGCCTTGAACGCACATCCTGGGCCGATCGCACCGCGACGTCATCCTGGTCCCAGGGATCAGGAGGGGAAAAACACATACAGACAATCAATCGGCGATGCCCCTGTAGGAAGATGTGGGAAGTGGTGGGGGAGACGGAAACCCAGAAAAGATGGAAAAGATGGGGGATCCTGGGATTTGTGTGTATCTACTTGTGTGCCCCTGTGCCCCTTCAAGGCAATCGGGGTGGGCGGCCAGCCGCATGCAGCTGATTGCTCACCCGCCCACCTCCCTTCTTCCGACCCGAGAGAGGTGGCGTCCCAGGCACCGGGCCCATCACACACGGGAGGAGGAGGAGGAGGAGGAGGAGGAGGAGGAGGAGGAGGAGAAGGAGGAGGAGAGCGAGGAGGAGGAAAAGGGCGACGAAAAGGAGGAGGAGGAGGAGGAAGAGGAGGAGGAGGAGGAGGAGGAGGAGGAGAACGAGAAGGACGAGGAGGAGGGCGGGAGGAGGATGAGGACGAGGAGGACGAGGAGGAGGAGGAGGAGGAAGAGGAGGAGGAAGAGTACCGGCACCCCTGGGCCAAGGTGTCCTCAGCTTTGTCGCTGCATCTTGGAGCCCTCGGGGAACCTCTGGCCTTCGTGAGGGGTGCTCTGGAGGCCGTGGGGGCCTCCTTGGGAATACTGGGGACACCCTGGGCGTAAGTCGGGCCTGTTCCCTCTACAGGGGGAATATTCTAAAATAGTAAAACATAGTCTGGGGACGATTCGTTACATATGTTTGACCATTTTTATCATTTTTGGTGTATGTTTTACTTGTCGTCCAAAATCCGCCTGTAGGGGGACATGCCCGACCTAACCGAGGGGGACACCCTAGGGAGACCCTGGGGACACCCTGGGGACACCTGGGGACACCCTGGGCCAGGGACACGTCTGCCAACACCCGAACAGACGTCTCAACGACGCCGCCGCGCACGTCCGGCCTTCGCGCTCTGCAGCGGCGCGGAGAGCTCCAGGACTTCGGGGCGGGCTGCTTCGGTTCGGTCCTGGCGCCCTTCCCTCCACGCCAGCCTCTCACGAAACGTGTGAGGGGCTTGTCACAATGGGCGCGGTGGTGGCATGCGGACCCTCCCACTGCGGCCTGTTTTGTGGAGCTCCCTGTGGGGCCAGGAAGCGGGCGAGGGCTGTGCCGAAATGGGCACGCGGACGGCAGAGGCAGGGATGATGTGAGGAGGGAGGAGAGGGAGGAGGAGAGGAGATGAGAGGCTACGCGGGGCGCTGTCTGATCAAAACGAGGCCCCAAGGGAAGCTAGGGTAAGGTCGGGCATGTCCTCAGGCGGATTTTGGATGTTAAAAAGAAGACAGAACTCATCAAAAATAATCGAAAATAATAGAAGCATCGTCCCCATACGATTTCCTTACTACCCAACACCACAGGATGGGCGTGAAGACTGCATGAGCACAGGGAGGTCCGCGCGGATGTCCTGGATCCGTGCGGGGTCCCTCTCGCCAGCGCCCGCGGCGGCGCCAGAGGCTCTGCCTGGGGGGGCCCAGTTCCGACCCCCAAAAAACCCGAACGGATCTCGCACATATTCCGTTGATGCACGAGGGCTCCCACGAGGGCGCGAAGTTCTTCGCACTTCGCGGTCCTCGTTCCTTCTCCCCCTCCTCCTCGTCCTCCTGTTCTCCCTCTGGGGGGGCGGCGCGAGAGCGCGAAGTTCTTCGCGCTTCGCGCTGCGCGGAGCGCGGAGCGCGAAGTTGGGAGCCCTAGATGCAGTTCTTTCTTCTTCGTCGGCCATCCTCGATTTGCAGGAGAGGGTGTTAACCCCTCTGGGCACTGCCCAATCTCTGGAGCCCCCATGCGCGGAGGGCGCGGGACGGGCGCGGCCCCGGGCCTCGCGCTTCCGCGTCAGTCGTCGTTTGCGTGCCTCTCGTCGAGAGTGGGAAGAGGGGGAGAAGGGTATGGAGGGAGACCGGAGACGTAGGAGGATCAGGAGCACGAGGAGGGAGTGAGGGGGGAGGAGGAGCAGCAGGGAGGGCGTGAGGGAGGAAGGGGTGAGGAGGAGGAGGAGGAGGAGGAGGAGGAGGAGGAGGAGGAGGAGGAGGAGGAGGAGGAGGAGGGAGGTGGTGAGGGAGGGAGAGGGAGGGAGGCCGACCTCCACAGCACAGCCTGCACGGCCAACTTCCAGCACGACCACCGCCAGTACGACCACCATCCTGCGACCACCGCTACGGACGCTGCCACCCACTCGCCACCCCTGCGACCACCTCCACCCCCCGTCCCCGCCCCCTCCGTCCTCCCCTGCCCCTGCCGACCCGCCCCGGCCACTGAGCGCGTCTTGCGCCTACCTCCCCTCTCTCCTCCTCCTGCTCTCTGCGCTGCCCTCCCCCCCGACGTCGTCCCCTCCCCTGCTCTTCTGTGTCTCCTGGCTCCGCGGCCTCTCTCGCTCTTCTCCCCCCCGTCTCCGCGGTTGCCCCTTGCTCCGTCGTCGTGTCGTCCGTTTTCCGCCTCGTCCCTCGCGTGGCGTGTGCGGCTTCGCTGGACGGACATGCGCTCAGGGTGGCCCCCTGAGTGCTGGCGGGGGCGCCAGACACGCGGCCAGCGAGCGTGGGGGAGGGAGGGAGGGAGGGAGGGAGGGAGGGAGGGAGGGAGGGAGGGAGGAGGTGGGAATGTCTCTGCTGGTTGACTCTCTCGGTTCTGCGCTCCTTGTTACGGGAGGAGGAACAGGGGAAGAGGGGAGAAAAGGAGGGAGCTTGGAGACGCAGGAGGATGGAGCACGGTAACACATGGACGACACAAGTCGGCCACGCGCAAAAAGGGGGGTCAGGGGGACGGGTGGAGGGCTTCTTAGGAGCACCCCTGCTTCCCAGAAGGCGCGGGCCTGATGCGTAGATGTGAGGCTGGCGCCTTTTAAGAGGCGACCTCCTAAGAAGCCCGTCCCCTCCCTCGAACCCCTGCGCGCGAGCCGTCCTCCGAGGTTGCTGCCAGATTTGCGCGCCCCCCCAAGCGCTCGGAGGACACGCAGTGGCGGGCGACGCACGGGGGGGGGGGGCAGCAAAGGCTGCCGACGAGGGGCCCTGCAGGGCCCAAGAAGGAGCCCTGATGGGCCCAAGAGGGGGCCTGCAAGAGGGAGGGGCCTCTGGGGCCCCAGAAAAGGCCCTTTTTCTTCCCCCTCCATGAGTTCGCGCCCGCAGCTCGGGCGCTGGAGGCGTCGTGGGCGGAGGAGGGGGTGGGCAAGGAGGGAGCGGGCGGTCCGCCCGCCTGGCCGCCCGCCTGTTCCCAGGTCGTGTTCCCCGTCTTCCTCTTACTTCGACCCTCTTCTGGGAGCAGGGGGGAGCGGGAGGAGCAGCAGGATGAGGGTGGGGAAGGGGCAGTCGGGGGGGGAAGGGGCGGCGCGCGGCGAGCAGCGCGAAGTACGGCTCCCGTCGAATCCCGCTACCGATGTCAACGACTTTTGCCCTAGAGCTGGGAACTCGGGGTGACGGAGAGTCGCCAGGGGTCGAGTGTTCGGAATTAGGGGAGGCGTTTTTTATTGAGGTGTCTCGTTGCAGCTTAAGGATCAAGCTTTTGGTGAACCACTTCTCCGACTTGTCCATAACTCCGTTGTGTATCGAGACAGGGGGGACTTTAAAGGGGACCAGGGTCTGATAATTGATTTCGTTCACAGGGTCAGTCACCCTCGATGGGGATTGGGATTTCGGCGGCAGCGACGGGACCTGGCCTTCACAAAGGATGCCCAGGGCCCCGATGACTTTGGAAGTCACTTCCGGGACCGTCCGGGTTATTTTCGCTGGCCCCGCCAAAAAGACAACACACATCGCCGTCAGCTTGGGTACGGTTTCCAGGCTCGCCCTGACAAGTTGGGAAAGTGAAGTTCCTCGCTCGCCTGCCGAGTTCTGCTCGCTCGACGGAGCAAGCGTTTCCTCGCTTGTCGAGCCCTGACTCCTTGGGAACCGTTCGAAACTAGTGGGGCCTTCTTAAGATGTTTTCTAAGGGGCCGTGGAACCCCATTGGGAAACATCGCGCCGACGATGGCGAGGTTGAACTTAAGACCTCCGCGTCGGAGGCTGTTTCTTGTAGCCGTCTCTAGGACCCAACAGCTCATCGGAACTACACGGTTTATATGAAAACAGAAACTGTTTGAAGTCATCGCGTTTCTCGCGGGAATATTTGGGAGGTTCCGTGTTGACATTTAGACCTGCTTCTCTCCGGTACTGGGGCTTCTGAGAGGCCATGTGGAGTCATTTTGAGCTATACTGCGCAATATTGATTGCCATCCTGGGCTGTATGCGGTCTTCTTTGTGACATCTTGGCCCACCTAGAACACTGAATCTACCCCTGGCCTTCCTGTCCAGACCCAGGGTATGGATGAAATCTTGCATCCCCGAAGAGAACAACAGGTTTTGACGAGCTAACTCCCCAGAACAAATAAGCGCCTAGGGTTGGTGGAATTGCGGCAGATGCCCTTCTCTCGCCACTCATTTTACTGTCAGGTTTTCAATTT